AAAAAGGTCATACTCTTTTTTCCCTTTTAAGTTTATCATAAAATTACTCGGGATTGATTTCTAGATGAAATACTAAATCGGAAAAAATGGAGCTAGCACCTCACTGATTTTAAGTGCTTCTTTGTAGATATTTGTACTTGCGTGGATCATCAATAAAGGTTGAACAATTGGATGATTTATCAAAGAAAAGGAATTTAGATCTACGATACAAGAGATAATTTTTTACTTATAGCTTATTATTCATGTATGTATGGTTAGTAAATTCAACGGGTTCATCTTGAGACCTTAGATGGAAGAAAATTTTTTGTTTATTTCATATCTCCATAGGATGCATAATCCTTCAAATAATTATCATTATAATCATGGTGGTCATAATAATACACCTCACCACCAGAAATGGATAAATTATGAAAAGAAACAAGAAATGAATAAAAGTGAATCAAGTTAGCATTCGAAAATAAATGTTATAAATGTGGTATGAAGAAACATTGGTCACATACCTATCGTACGTCAAAACACTTAGTTGAGCTTTATCAAGCCTCGTCGAAAAAGAAAGAAAGTGATATAGAGGCAAATTTTATATATCAAAATAATGATTGTGATAATGCTCCTCTTGAAGGTTTTAATAATTTGATATATTTAGATATTGTTGATTTTTTTGAAGATTCTAAAAGAAAAGATCATTAAATTAATGATAATCATTGAAATTAATATCTTGTTACCTTTTCTATTGATAAATAAAGAAGTTTTATGTTTTCTTATAATTTTTATTGCATCTTAATAGTTACAATATATATATATGTGTGTGTGTGTGTGTGTGTGTTATGTGTTTATGAAGAATATATGGATACTACTAAGTTCACAATTGGTTTAAACATTATAGAGGAGAATATATGCCTTGTAGATAATGCAATAACACATACTATAATTAAAAACAAAAGGTATTTCTCTAATTGAATAATGGGAAATGCCAATGTTAATACTATATCTCGATAGTCATTATGCCTATTCAAAAATTTGTAATGTGATATAATATTTCTTTACCTTAGATAATTTTTCTTCTTTTGTGTGATTACATATAACCTAAAAAAATAAAAATTTACTTACGCTGAATTTTTAAAGAGAATTACTTAAAGGTATATATATATTAGCTATAATTGATAGGCTTTATGGATTAAAAAAAAAAAAACTTGAGTGCTATTCAAAAATATTAATGGTAAATATACAAATTACTTGATTTTTTTTCTCTTAAAATTTTTTTTATTCAATGCCAAGAAATATTCTTGAGTTAGTTTGTGTTTCAATCAAGATCAAGTTCCTTCTTTAGGTAATCTTAAGAGTGTGTGTATATGCTCAATTTGTTTATATAAATTAATCAAGGATTTAGTTAATCTTATTATGTATGAATCTATATTATTTGTCTTGATTTTAGCATGGGTCTAAACTATACAACAAATAGATTAGATTGATGATGGATCTCGTCCAACACAAGACTTTAGACTGTGTAAGGATGAACATGGATATTTTTATAAGACTAGTATCCATGCCTTGTCTTTTGAATTTATTAGAATGATTATTTTGGTGGACTCGGATTAGGATCCGTTAAAGAAATACACAATTGCTACTTCATTTAGCCTTATGAGCAAATTGAAGCAATTTAGTTTAAAAAAACTCAACTTTCTTTAACTTAAATATGAAATTTCAAATTAATGATATGGCACGATCTTAATAGTCAAGAGTCACGTTCAAATCACTATGAATATCAATCTCACATCATTATGAGGGTATTTCAACTTTAGATTTTTAGCAAAACCTCTAAACTCTTTTTTTTTTTAAACCCACCGAGATATTATCTAAACCTCTATCTATTTAGACTTTGACTATCCACCTATCTATCACATGACTTGTACTTTGCTACTACTATTTGCTTCTCTTTTCATGCCTCCACTACTAGCTTCCATTCTACTTGTTTGGTTGATCATAATTTCTATAAGTCACGATACTAGCTCTTTATTTCTTGATTAGTTTACCGACTAGTCATTTGATTAATTCTTAAGAACTTTCCTCACATAAAATGCATCTCTCACATCAACCTAATGCATTCAAATAAAATTTCATTAATGCTAGCCCTAAGATTTGAATTCAAAAAATTAAGGAATGTTAATTAATAAGCCAAACTCTTGCTAGCCCTAAGTGTTATTTGGTAACAAAAAATGAAATAGTGGTATTAAAATGAAAGTTTTATTTCTATTTTATAGGTGTATGGATGAAAGAAATTTATAAAGTAAAAATGATAATGAAGAGTGCAAATAAAAATTTAAAATAGTTTCATTTCTCACAAGGTGGGAATAAAAACAAAAAATAAAAATAAAATTTTTTCTCTCTCTTCAAAATAGTAATATATTATTTTTATTTATTATGTATCAACTATTTTTACACCACCACTACCATCTTTACTCGCTAACACCACCACCACTAAACGATGATGGTGATAAAAATAAAAATTATTATTACTATGATTCCGCTACCACTCCTCCACCGTCACTATTTTTATTATATTCCATCACTCTTTTTCTATTGTCATCTTTTATGATGGTAATATCAATTTTTTTTTAAATATATTATTACTAATACTATATTATTAATCTACTGTTATTATTCCTTCCACTTTCTCCTCTTCATCCTTCACCACCATTATTACCATTGTAATAATCTCAATCATTATGAAATTATTTTTGTAATCATTATTGTTATTCATCTTAAGAATTAGAAGTTAAAAATTTTAAATTTTATTCAAATTCTATATTATTATTCCAAACACCGTAATAGAATGAAAATATCATTCTAATTTTCTAGTTTTTATTCCAATTCTGATATTTTTCATTGCACGTTTTTTTATTTTTATAACCAAACTACACCTTAAAATTAAATAAGAATAAAAATAATACTTAATTATGGTTATTCGGCTATTAGCTTTCCTTCCTTGTGGTTTTCAAGAACGCACACGAAAGAGGTTCCTTGATAAAACTGAAATCGTTGAGTCAACACTCATGGCATTCCATATATTATTTATTAAGCTGGTAAAACGTCGAATTCATATTAATTGTATAATGATAGGTTTGAAAGAGGTTGATGACTCCATGCTTATTTATATGTTTTCAAATATATTCACAAGGGAAAAGGGACCCAAGCAAAAGGTTTTCCTATATTACATCACAATATAACAATGGTGGAATTAGTTGGTTTGAAAACTTATAGCAAAGCTAATGATAGAAGAACATTGTTAAGTTTCAATTTTATATTGCTTGATTTTGATTCTAAAAAAAAAAAACCCTCAAATATATCAACTATTGGACTAGTATTAATTTTTTCTTCTAACAATTTGTTATATCAACTTTATCCCTGAACAATTTGGATCCTTTCGTCATATTTTCCTGATAGAAAATGTTAAGTTTTCTACAAAAATAATATTATTTAAAAAAATACAATTTGGATGGAATTCATGATCAAGCGAAAAGTCTTAATTAAAAAATTCTAAAATTTGAAAGAAAAAAATTGATATAAAAATTTTCTTGAGATAATATTTAGATTACCAATATATTTGAGGGTTATTTTTAGGTTTGCTTTAAAAAAAATAAAAAAATGAAATGAGTGCTGCCTTTTGTTTTGGTCTGCGAGTGGCAACCCATGAGCAAACTGCTGGTGGACAATACCAGCAAATTAGTGCCGCTTATTTTATTTTTTATCCAACTCAATTATGAAAATATTTTTGGATTATGCCTTAGTCATGACTGAACCAATTAAAAAAAAAAAAAAAAGAATAGAACAATTCCTTGCCTAGATCTCTCTGTTTATTTTTTTATTTAAATCAAATCTCATGTCATGATTTTTTGATATATATATATATATATAGATGAAATTTTTTTATATATAGAGAAAAAGTATGTAATGAAATTTTATGTAGAGAGAGAGAGAGTGTGTGTATATAAAAATATCTCAAAAAATCATGACATGAGATTTGATTTAAATAAAAAATAAACAGAGAGAGATCTGGAAATATATAACGTGTATATATATATATATATATACTCTCTTGTTTATTTATTTTTATTTAAATCAAATCTCATGTCATGACTTTTTGATATATATATATATATATACTGGGGGGAGGGGGGTGTTGACGCCTAAATATAAAAATGCCGTAATTATATATAAAGAAAATATTGGGTTAGTTTTCCCATAACTAGCTACGAATCAAATTTACTATTCATGTCACCTCAATATTGTTCATGTGTCAAAAAAATTCAATTCATCACACACAATTTGGATATATCCTTATATAATATCATAAATATTTAATTATTTTTTATATCTTTAATTGTTTCAATTTTAAATTTAAATAAAGACCTAATCTTCCATAAATACCTCTGTCAAAATTATCATTTAAACTGCATATTATAGCATGCCAATGCCAATTGAACATGACCCTACTCTTGAATTAGACAATAGGGTGAGAAGCACTTGGTCGATCATGGTCATCCGCAATTCTCATATGAAAGTCTATTGGTTTGGATCGCAAAAATTTGATGCCAAAAGTTAATTTCAGGTTATGCTTTTATTTGAGGTTTAAATTGATATAGAAATTATTAAATAGTCTTTATATTATATAAAGACATATGGAATCATCAAGGGTGTATAGTTTGTAATTTTTATTTTCCAAACACATAAAAAAACAAAGGAGGTTGATTCTTTTTCTTCTTTTTCTTTTCTTTTTTTTTTTTAAAAAAAAGGTAATACACCTGAATGTGTATATATATATATATATATAATTTATAAACTTTTGCTGGATGGGCCCTTGCACACACGTATGGGATTGTTCTGGCATTTTTGACTCCGTAAAAAAGGAAGCTCAAGCTGCGTGAGCTGAGTTCATTGGGCGTATATAAGAGAAACACTTTTGTACCTTCAATATTATCATGAATTGGTGAAAGTTGAGAGAGATGATGAGTAGCTACTCGAATGGAAGCTCCGACTCAGTCTCAGAGTCTTGTATCAAGATACCAACAATTAAGTTCAGCAAGCTTTTCATCAATGGACAATATGTTGATTCCATTTCTGGTAATGTGCTCCCTTTCCTAGTATGCTAATTCCTTATACTTCAATTCTTCCATTCATTAATTTTAGCTGCATAGATTTCTGCTTTTATCAATTAATGTTCAGTAAGCACTCCTCTGTAACATTCCATTTGTATATTTTCATGTACTGTAAGGGGTGTTGCCGGCCTGCCTATATTTTAGGACCAGACTGATCATGTCCAATCGATCTCTAGATTGAGAATCCTAAACAGACTTTATGAGGTTATCCATAACCTCATAAAGTCCTCAAACTTTGGCCTCGACACAAGTAGAAGTAGAGTGGGGATCGTTTCAGATAAAAGGATGGTGTAACATGAGTGCAATGTTTTCTAAGGGGTTGGCCTCGACACAAGTAGAAGTAGAGTGGGGATCGTTTCAGATAAAAGGATGGTGTAACATGAGTGCAATGTTTTTTAAGGGAGAGCATAGAATATCTTACCTCTCTTTTTATTTTTGAAAACCTTCTAGCTATACACTAACATGCATGATCTTAAAGATTCTTACATTTACACGGAATTTGTCTACCCAGAAGCAATTAATCAATTAAAACATGTTTTGCTATATACGACAATTTTTTTCTGCTATTAATTATGAGGAAAAAAATAGCAAAACAACTTGACTAGGACAAACATGAGAGAACGGCTCCAATAATATATATACATGCACCATGTTTTATTAAAGCAAGCTTAATTTGTCATCATCGTTGACCTATAAGGTACGATTTTTTTCAATTTTCAGGAAAAACATTCGAGACCATAGACCCCAGAACAGGGGACGTCATAGCGAGAATTGCAGAAGGAGATAAAGAGGATATTGATTTAGCTGTGAAGGCTGCCCGTCATGCTTTTGACAATGGTCCATGGCCCCGGATGTCCGGAACTGTATGTGCTTATATCTTTGTTCAATAAATATGTAAATATGAGCAAATTTAATTAATTGAAAGGTTATTTGTATATATTATATATAGGCCTTCCAACCAAATTAATTTGGACAAATGCATCTAATGGTGTTGGTCTATATGTTCCTAGGTACTTTGTCATGATTTATTTTCAAGTTTCTTATGGACATTAAGAAAATCAATAATGGAATAGATGTAAGAACATAAGAGTATATAGGATTAATTAAGTGGCAAGCAATCTCTAACTAGTTGTACAAGCTGGTGCATTAAATATGAACTCAATGTGTATATAACACTTGTCATTGAATGGTGATCCAGGCGAGGGGAAGGATTATGATGAAATTTGCAGACTTAATTGACCAAAATATAGAAGAATTAGCGGCATTGGATACTGTTGATGCTGGAAAGCTATTCAGTTTTGGCAAAGCTTTCGAAATTCCTTCAGCTGCAAATTCTCTTCGTTACTATGCGGGTGCAGCAGATAAAATTCACGGAGAAGTGCTGAAAATGTCTCGTGAATTGCAAGGGTACACCCTGCGCGAACCCATTGGCGTTGTAGGACACATAATTCCCTGGAACTTTCCTAGCCCCATGTTCTTCATGAAGGTTAGTCCATCCTTAGCTGCTGGGTGCACCATGGTAATCAAGCCTGCTGAGCAGACACCTATTTCGGCTCTCTTCTATGCTCATCTTGCTAAGCTGGTAAGCTCAAGTTATCAATCTGAACGATTCAGATTAATTGATAGTTTCCAGTGTATTATATGCATGCCCCCTTTTCTTGACTTCTTGTGGTGCTCTTTTATATACATATATTGTCTTCTGTATTTCATTTCTTTTGCTATTTTGACACTCTAAATAGGCTGGCATTCCTGATGGAGTTCTCAATGTTATAACTGGATATGGACCAACAGCCGGTGCTGCCATTGCCTCTCACATGGACATTGATAAGGTGAGGTCTGATTTATTTTGCTTCATGAAACTAGAAAATGCTACTGAAGTTTATTATTACTATTCTTGTCATTGTTATTTCAGGTAAGTTTTACTGGGTCTACAGAAATTGGACGTCAAGTGATGAAGGCTGCTGCCGCAAGCAATTTGAAATCAATTTCACTAGAATTGGGTGGTAAGTCTCCTCTGCTAATTTTTGACGATGCTGATGCAAGTAAAGCTGCTGACCTTGCGCTCTTTGGCATTCTGTCTAACAAGGTAAGATACAATCTGCCTTCACTCATCCTATATACTTCCATATAGGGAATCTAAAGTGGTCTAAATTTGTTTAATTTAATGGCAGTTCTATGTTACTATATACGTATATATTTTTCAGGGAGAAATTTGTGTGGCAAGTTCGCGTGTTTATGTTCAGGAGGGGATTTATGACGAATTTGTTAAGAAGTTGGTCGTGAAGGTGAAAGCTTGGGTTGTCGGGGATCCTTTTGATCCTAAAGTTCGTCAAGGACCCCAGGTAAGAATTGGGCAGATATATCATGGATGGGTCTCATGTTGTTACAGCAAGTTAATCTGTTTAAGACTTGGATCTGGACTGACTAAGACCCCAAATAGAGTAAGGAGAAATAAATAATCTGTTCTTTGAATCACACATAACACATGCTGGCAACCTCCTACGTGCTTAAAGGATGAGTAATGAATGCTAGCTGCTCTAGGACATGGTTGCTAGCTAGGCTCTTACATCATAGGTAAACAGTTTCTCGAAAACTAGCTGACCGGTGATGTGTGTGATTTATCCGGTGTCAGGTTGATAAGAAGCAGTTTGATAAAATTCTCTCTTACATTGAACATGGCAAAAGAGAAGGAGCCACTTTGTTAACAGGTGGTAAGCCTTTGTACGAGAAAGGATATTACATCGAACCAACAATTTTCACCGACGTTAAGGTAGGAGTAGGATGATATTGAAAATTTCTTGTTCGGAGTTCAGTTACGGTTTATACATACTAGGTACTAATTAGCATTATTGGTGTAATCAGGAGGACATGCTTATTGCCAAAGATGAAATTTTTGGACCTGTTATGTCGCTGATGAAGTTCACGTAACAACGTTTCCTTCCTCTCTAGATTCTTTGAAGCCTGATGAAATCAGATAGTATTTTTTTCAGTTATTAATTAAGACCATCTAACCACGGAATTGCAGAAGCGTGGATGAGGCAATTAAGAGGGCCAACGATACAACATATGGTTTAGCAGCAGGCATTGTGACCAAGGATTTGGACGTGGCTAATACAGTGTCAAGATCAATTCGTGCAGGGATCATTTGGATCAATTGTTATCTGGCCTTCGATGAGGACTGTCCAGTTGGAGGTTACAAGATGAGTGGGTTTGGAAAAGATCTTGGATTGGATGCCCTTTATAAGTATCTCCAAGTTAAGTCTGTCGTAACTCCTATTTATAACTCAACCTGGCTATGACCAAACACAAAGCAAGACGGACATATGATCCTCTGCCTCCGGAGAGATTGATACTTCTATGGTCTTTGCCAACTTGAATAAATATTAAGTACTGAATTACTTAGGTTCCATTCTCTCTTTTCAATCTCAATCAATTTGAATATCACCATCTGGAGATTGAACAAGAAGTTAAGCTGATCAACCATTACTACAGACTTATTAATTTACATATTATCAACAAATTACAATACATTCAAATTCAATTCTAAAAACCACAACTCGGCAACACAAGCATCACCCAATTATTATGTATTCACTTCACTTGCCAATCTTCCCTCTAAGCTTCACCCCAAGCACTCTCTCCATCTTAACCAAAACAGCCTGGTTAGGCACCGCCTTCCCATTCTCATACTCCTGCACTACCTTTGGTTGCTCATTAATCAGCTTAGCAAGCTCAGTCTGGCTCATTTTCTTCTCAAGCCGCGCTTTTTGAATCGCCTGCCTCACCCCCGTCGAGACTCTGTCCAACGCCGCTGGCTCCGTCTCCTCCTCCAACTTCCTGGCGTTCACCAATGGTGCCGTTGCTTTCTTGTTAGACCCAGCGTCGAATTTCTTGATTGTCTGGACTGGAGTGCCGGACCGGAGGGCCTGGTTCACTGATTTTGGATCGCGAAGGTCTTGGAACTTGGGCTTGGTCTTGTGCAGCACCACTGGCTCCCAATCTTGCCTCATCACTCCGGCTGATCTGCTTGGCATTGTTTTTGACACAGAGAAAACAAAGAGATCAATTCTATTAAATGAAAGACCAAAGTCTGAACAGATAGGGATGATCAAATAAAAGAAAAGGAAGAGGGATGTTTATATAGGAGGCTTGTTATCTGGAAGGTTCTTTGCTCGTTTTATCTCTCGAAGATTCCAACAATAGTTTGTTGCTATTTTTCCTTTTTTTCAAAAAAAACCGTGGGAAAATTTTTGCGAATTGCGATGATCTGGCAAAATAGTTATTGCCCAACATTGGAGTTTTTCCCTTGGATAGGATATTTTTTAATTTTTATTTTTAAAATAAAATAGTTTTAATGTATTAGTGTCACATGAATTTCATCATATATATATAAAGCAAAATAATAAAACCCAAGAGAGAAGATAAAGGATTTTCATAATCTCTCTTCAATATTCTTTGTTCTTTCTGTGTTTATATCCTTCTTTTCCAGCTAATTATTTTTACCAGTTTCTTCAAAATATTTTTTTACATAATTAAAAATATTACTCCAATTTAGTGCCAGTAACAACACTATAACTGTGAAGAAGAGTTTCTAAATTTTTTTGTTGTTCTTAAATCGTTTTTTTTTTTTTTTTTGCCCCTAATATGAAATATGCCTATTGATTTTCAAAAATCACTTAGCAAAAATATGAAAATACAAATAGATTATACGCGGGATTGATGAACTTAGTAGCAAATTCCATAAGTTTTTTTTTCTCTTGACAAATTCTCCTATACAAGTATTAAATCGCTATTTCTAAAAAAAAAAAAAAAAAAAAAGAATTCAGTATATTGATCTCATGTATGATTATGTTGGCAACAATAGTATAAAAAATAATATTTTTCATAATTAAAAGTTATTCTAAATATTGCAAGGTACAAGCCAATTAGGCAATATTGAAACTTATTAGCTATAAATTTTAAATGCATAAATGTTCAATTAGTGTCAACACTACAAAATTTAAAAACTCATACGTCAATCAAGTATGATATCTTCTTAAAACGAAATAGTAAGATATAAATAAAACGATACGTTTGGTCTTATATCAATTAAATTTTGACAAAACATTAAGACTTAAATGAAACGGTGCATTGGATCTTATAACCAATCAAATTTCGACAAAGCGTTTAGTCTTAAATAAAATAGTACGTTTGATCTTATAACTAACCAAGTTTCGACGAAGTATTAAGATTAAAATGAAATGATGCGTTTGGTTTGATAACCAACCAAGCTCAACGAAACGAGTAAGATTTAAATAAAACAATGCATTTTAGTCTTTCGATCAATCGGATTCGATGAGACAACATGTCTAAAGAAAACAAAGGGACGATTACTAATAACTGTTCACGTCTAACTTCAAACCCGAGGCGATTATTGGTTGAGAGCTATTTTAAAAAGGGTACTAACGGAATCATAACACAATCAATACACAAGACTTTTTTAACACAAATTTATTCAAGTTTTCTAGTTTACCCTGCAACGAACTAGTTTTTTACATTCATGCAAATAGTTCGATAGCTTTTACTAATTTCGGTAGTTTCATTATTGTAACATAGAAAGTGTTAATCCTTCATTGATTGTGGACAAATGGCTTTGAGTGTTTTGATGACTAATGATATAAGTGTCATATTTTCTAATTTATGATATTTACACCTTTTCCAATCAGTTTTGTCTCTTTTAATTGATGAAATTCTCTCCATCTTTTGAATGTTATTTCTTCCAATATATTAGCATTCCTTTTATTTTATCTTTTTCTTTAAATTGAGTACCCACGGAAAGTCTTAGTTGCTTGCTAGGTGAAACCGAACTTCGTATTATTTCATCATGAAGTTCTTGGTCATAAATTGAAGTGTCGATATACTCTGTTTGGAGACCGAATTTGACGAGCAACAACAAGTTTTGGTGACCATAATGAGAGAAAAATAACAAAACATTGTAGTACTAAAAGTATGATAAGACGTCAACTCTTTAAAAAGGATCAAATTGATGAAACACTCCTTGTGTTCTATTGAAGTTATGGTCCAAATTTTTAAAGGTGATCCTCTAATGGAGACCATGGAAAATCATAATTGTGCGGAAACCAAAGATGATAGTAAAGCAAAACCTAAAAACGTAAGCGACATAAGGCAACCTAATAGTCGAAACAAATTTGATGTCGGAAGTCAAGAACATATAGGTTCGAAGGAAATGATGATTCCATAAACATAAAACATAATATTAGGGAATAAGCATCGAAAGAATAGGCTATTAAATTTCAACAAATGCTATCGGATCGGACTAAAGAATTAATAAAAAAGGATATATGATCCATATTTGTACATTAGCGATCGGATAAATTGATAAGTATAGTTAATGTTGAACTAACACGAGGACGATATCAAGAGAATAAGAACATCCATAGCTAATTCATCGAAGAAAATAGTGAAATAGTTTATAACCATACTGCCAAACTATCGAATTGTATGTGTTACCATGGTGATAGAGTGATTACGAGCATAAATCACTTGTTTAATGAAACTCTTATTCTATTGGCAAAACAAGTTACCAAGAAAGTAGAAATTGCTATCAAACTAAGGTTCGAGACAATTGCAAGTGCCACTCGAATAATGAGAAAAGAATTTCGATGGCTTATGATTTTAGCGAAGGAAAAGAGAAAGAACCGATTGAAGAAAGAAATTTCAACATCAATAGAGAAGTCAAATCATCAACAATCGAGTCGATGGAAGTTCCTTTAGGTTACCCACCTTCGTTCCTAATAGACCATTCGATAATAGAGCCGGTCATGATGTGCCATAAAACATTAACGGACATGCTTATTATAACCAAACTAATGGCTATTCATCCCGGACACCTCCCGTGGTTATGTTGACATAACTTAGACCCTCGTATTATGGTCCTCTTTCGAACATACCCCTAAGGGCAATAATTAGTTTTCCACCACGGAATGTGCTAACTATGGTCGTAGTCGGAGGAAATGGTTCGCATCACATCCCGTCCTTAGGAATACACATTGAGAAATGAATCAAAAAGTTTTAGCTAATATGATTGAAAAGATGCATAGGTCACGAATACAAAGGGTTAATCATCCTATTTATCAAAAGCCATATGCAAATTTTATCGATAGAGAATAATCCTTTCCCTAGAGGATTTCAAACTCCTGAATTCACCCTTTTTTCGGCAAGGATATTATTTTCTACTCTAGAACATGTTGTTAGATTTACTTTTCAATACGAAGAGCTATCAAGAGATGATTTTCCGAAACTATTACTCTTCCTTAATTCTTTAACTACTATAGAATTCACTTGATATGTTAATTTGTTACTAAATTTTATCTTCAACTGATTGGATATGTATGATGCATTTTAAGCATATTTATTTAGAATAGATTTTGAGATTTTAGTAGTAGATTTAGCAAGATTAAGGTAATTTTATGATGAATATGTAGAATAGTTTCTTTTAATTCAGAATAGCTAGAGTTTAATGCTAGGTCAATTTACCCGAAAGTAACTTTTTACGCTTTAAATAGGATGAATTAGATTTCGAGCTCAAAAAGAAATTTAAAGGCATAGTGTTTAAGGATCTTTATGAACCGACTAAAAAAATATCAAGGTAGAATCACTTCAAAAAAGTATCATAGTTAGAATATATTGCTAAGATTCTATAGTGGTCGATGTCGATTTTATAAAATATGTTAAAGGGAAGCCAATAGTCTATAAACAGTGGGCTCGAAAAAATACACAAGCTCCCATAAGTTTTTAAGTTGAAAGAAGATTGTAAATGTTCTTTCGCTCTTGATAAAAAAGATTTGATTTTTGATAGGCTTATAGCCAACAATAGGATTAAACTCAAAGGAAAATATAAATTACCAACTTCAAAAGAGTTGAAAAAAAGGAAATTCTATAAATGGCATAGTGATCTATCACATTCAACTAATAATTGTGTTGTGTTTAGGAATTTAATTCAAGACTTAATGAAGTCAAAACAATTGACTTTTTTTGATAGAAAAGAAATTATGAAAGTTGATAGTAATCCTATTTCCGAAGTTATCAAGGTTGTAACCTTTGATATTTTTTATTTATCTAATTTGCGAAACAACTTGTTATATTGAAGGCCACTAAAGTGGCTAATTAGGTTTTAAATCATATGGTCGACAAATGAGTTTTTCCATTCCTTCTTTTTGAAGATTTAGAGTTGGACCACTACTGCAAGTGGCATATCACTACTTTGCACATAATAAATAAGTGCCACCACTTCATGGATTTTCTAAATGGTTATAAAGATTATAACTGGTATGATCTAACACATGAAAAGAAAGTAACTTTGATTTTGGCTTTGCTTGGGTCGGAGACATATGTTGATAAGGTCAAAAAACAATCAAAAGACTATAAATTTGATTTCAAAGAAGGTACTATGACCCATAAACGTGGCCAAGATTGATTGAATCACTAAAAAATGGCGATTAAAGAGTATAAGATAGAAGGGTCATCTCCTCGTTCTCAAGTAGGTTTAAAGAAGAAGCCACACCTCGAGACAGTTTGAGCATAAAAAGCTCGAATAGAAAAGAAGATCTAAATCAACAAGGATTTTATAGCAATTGTGCGTATAAAATAACAAAAATGATTGTTACATATCAAGTGGCCTAGAACCCAAAGGTTTCGATCAAAGAGACCATAGCTCAAGTTGAAAAGATCGGAGATAATGCTCGAAGGGAATACATTTTGAGGAATTATAAATACTCATCTCTTGTTTGAGATCATTTCATGTCGAGAAGTCATCCTCATCAAAGAAGTAATGTTGAAGATAGTTAATAGAAGAAAGAAAACTCAATAAGACTAATAAACTTTTGAGGTTTACAAAACCAAAGAAGCTAGAAGTTGGAATCGAAAAATGACCTAATTTTCCCTTCCAAGATAGTTAAAACATGGTAGTCCCTTACAATAGCCAAAACATAAGAAATCCTCAAGACGACCAAAACATGACGAGTCCTTCATCTAT